CCGCCCTCCCTCGGCCGCCTCCCTCCCCCGGCTGCGCACACACCGCACGCTCGCACCCGCTCGGGTGTCAAACCCCGCCGGGCACCCAGCCTGCTGCGGGCACTGCCCCGGCCCCCCCGGCCGCTCCCAGCGCCGCCGATCGGAGCCTCCCCCGCTTCCAAATGGTGAGTTTCTACCTGCTTTTGTGGCGACTCGGGGTTTTTCTCCATCCCCGGGGCTGGCGGAGGGGGCGGGGAGGCAGCGCCTTGCTGCTGCTGCTGCACGCTTTGTGCCAGGGGCCGGGAGCGAGCTGCAGATTCCTGCTCTTATTTCTGCATTCCTTCTCGTTGAAACAATGAAAATAATTCCGTCACTGCCCCAAACTTCCTCTTCGTTATTTAAATGCGGAGACTTTTCGTGTATTTGTCGCAAGCGACCTTGTTGGGAGCTGTAAGGAACCTGCCGCGCCATGTCATTTTTTTTTTTTGTATAAACGATTAAAAATGGAATGTATTCTCTCAACAGAGGGTCCTTAGAGAAGCTCTTTCCTTCCACCTGTGTGTCCTGTTTTGTAATCTTGAGCCATGAATTGAACTTGCCTGCTATTCTTTTCCTCTTTCTCCTTTTGATCTTTTTTTTATGATTATTATTTTTTGATCCCCGTTGGTTTCGGTATTTTTATTTTAATTTTTTTTTGTATTTTTCTTTTTTTTTTTGTACAAGGACTAGTTTGTTGCACCCCTCTCAATCCCTGAGACCCTAACTTGTGATGTTTAGCTTTTAAATCCACGGGTTAGGCTCTTGGGAGCTGTGAGTTGTGCTTTGACATCTTTATTTTATTTTAGAAATATATCCTCTCTCTATGTGTATATGTGTGAGCGCGGGTGTGTATATTTAGAGCCGTATACACACACATACAATAGTGTTTAGAGACCTTTTAAGGGAAAAATAAGTCTATTTCTCCTCCTTAAGCTCCATCGGTTGATGTAGGGCGGTGGTTATGGCCATTTGCTGTATAAAAATCCAATTAAAATTAGCGTTCGTGCCGCAGAGATTTTTATATCATTTTTTTCCCCCTAATTTTTTTTTTCTTTTTTAATGTGTGTGTGTATATTCAGGAGATAATTTTCCAGCTGATCCAGATATGGGGGTGTATGTGTGTACACACATTATTATATATGCGTGTGTAGATAAGATATACATGATAGGGATGCATGCAAATCCAGTTATTGAGGTGTGCGTGGCGATCCACAGATGTATGAACTAACAGAGATAAATAAAACTATAAATACAGATATTTCCATATGGAAGAATATTAATATCACGCCTGTGGTAAAAGAGGGAGATTTTTTAAATTTTTTTTTTTTTGCTGCAGGCCACTGCATAGAGCATATCAATTTTGATTTTTATTTTTATTTTTCGCCTTCCCCCCTCCCTTCTTGAGAGCAACACAGAGTACCCTGAGAGCGTAACAGTAACAGCTCGGTACATTGGTGCTTGACCTCAGCTGAAATCCCAGCATGCCTCATGCTTCCAAGTTTAAAACTGAACGATTAATCTTGGAAATGTGCTCTATGGACACACCAAAAAGGAAAAAAAAAAAAAAAAAGCCAAAGAAAAAAAAAAAAAAAAAAAAGGATAAAAAAAATTACAATAAGAAGGAGAGAGAAAAAAAAAAAATATACAAATAAAAAGCCAGGAGACGGGATGGATTTTATAGGTTGGAAAAATAAACTGCGGAATAAAATGGTTGCATGTATTAATGGTTGGAAAGTAAAAAGAAATGCTGAAGTTTTCTGTGAGTCCTTTTCTAGAACTTCCAGCTTTGCTGCTTTTCCGGGCAATATGATATGTAAATGATGAATCAGAAATGTTTGAAATGTTTCCTGCTGCTGCTGTTTTTCCTTTATTAGATTTTTTTATGTTGCTGTAAAATTAATTATGGTTGGAACTGTATTTCTTATCTCTGTTCTGCAAGGCAATTTATAATGAAGTTACTGTACCTTGTTATGGCACCGAATTACTGTTTGATATTTGAATGCAAATGCTTGAACTTAAAACGATGCACCAAAAATTAATTGACGGTGTAACATTTTGGTATTTAAGAGCTTTAGGATACGTTTGCTGGTTCCTGTTGTTTAACAGTTATTGAACTGGAAAAGGTTTCTCGTTTGATTTTGATTTTTTTTTTTTTTTTTAATTAATTTTAGCTGCTTTTTCTTGCCACTGTAATTCCACCGAACGTTTTACCTCCGCGGGGGGGGGAAAAAAAAAATGCCAAGGAAGCCTTGCCCTTCTGAATTTCTATATTATTCTTTAATTCCAAAACGAGCCGCATTTATTTTCTGTTACCTGCTCGGTTTCGTAAATCCGGAGCGCTGGAGCCCCGCAAAAAATAGTTGTTTTTTTTTTTTTAGGGGTGCTTCCCCAAGCTTTTAACCCCAATTTCCCCGCTCTCCGCGGGCAGGGAAGGGGCGAGCGCTTTGTCCGCGATGCTGGGATGGGTCCCCCCCAAACCCCCGCGGGTCCCTGCGCACCCCGCGCTGCTCGGGGGGCTCGGGGAGCCCCGGCACGTCCCCGCTGTCCCCTCCCCGGGGGTCGCTATTGTGTCCGCGCTGCGGGGCGGGGGTTGCGCGGGGCTGCGGCAAAAACAATGGGCGGGGAGGGGATGGATGCGAGAGGGGGGATGGATGGATGGATGGATGGGAAGGGGGAGGACGGAGGCGCGCAGGCTCCGCGCCCCTGCGCGCACCCGGAGCCGCTTCCAGCGCTCCCCATCCCGCATCATCCGCTGCGAAGGGAAACAGCGCGCCCACAAAAAGCAGCGCAGGGAAATGGGAAGGGAAGAGCGGATTGTGCTGGGTTTTTCCAGGGGGAAAGGAGAGGAGGAAAAGAGGGAATAGCGGCTGGAATAGAGCGAGTCCCCCCCATACACACACACACCCCCTTTTCCCTTCCCTGCATTCCCACTCCACGATTCCAGGCAGCTTCAGGGAGGATTCTCGGTGCCCGGGAGCTGCAGAAATGTCAGCGCTGTTAAAAGTCGGTCCCTTTAGAAATATCCAGCAGGAATCGTTTCTTTTCGAGCAGACAGAACTCGGTGCAGAACGATTCCTGCAGCGATTTTTACCTTCTGCAGACAAAAGGAGGGATATTGCGGTTGGGGTTTATTTTTTTGCCTTATTCCTACGGCTCCAAGGCTTTCTTCTCTTAGTGTCACAGAGTTCTTCCAATAATAGTTTCATGCGTTTCCATGATTTTATGTTTTCATTAGGAAAAAAAACAAATCTGTGGACGAAAAGACGGGTTGTTTTTTTTTTTTCTCTTACAAGGAAAATGGAAGAGAAAATAAATATTAGGCATTCATTTAATCATTTAATTAATAAGTAAAGCTTAATAAGGATTGAAGGAATTTTTATTAGCACTGAAATAAAAACCACCAGGTTGGAACAAGTTTCAAGTATATCTAATACGCCGCCAATATATTTAATATAACCCATTGCTAAATATTCTGTGCAATATGTGATGCAAATAATTAAAAAGGAGACAGATAAGAAAACGAGGCATGAGATTTTACTTTTTAATATAGTTTTCTGTAAAAAAAAAAAGCCAAAAATATGGTAAATTTTACAAAACTCTGATGTCTGGGAGTTCTGTCTGAGCAGCAACTGTAGCTTTGAGCTCGGTGACTTTGACCTCGTTGTGGCCGAGTTGGAACTTGCTCTCCCAAGTTGAAAGGCACAGGGTTTGGTGGCAGGAAAAGGTAAAAATAAAAGCTCTGAGGCATTCTGCAGTTTTCCATTGTTGCTCTTTTATTTCCAGGGGTTTAACAGGACCTAAAGTTGCACAGGGCTGCAGCTTAAAAAAAAAAAAAAAAGAAAAAAAAAAGAGAATACTTTTACTGCCTTTCGTCCCTGAATCATTTCCAAGGTACTTAAGGATTTATTGGGCCAGATAGCAAATTGCAGTTGAGATGCTGTGTAGTGGCTAGTGCTGATTAGATGATTGATTAATTCCTGATCGATTTCTAATTCCGAACTTAAATCACATTATAAATGCTCGATATTAAAATGCAGTTTATGCCGAAATATCTGATTGCAAGCTCTTGACAAAGTCGGTCAAAATGCCAGTTGGAAATACAACAATATTCCAATTTTTTGTTGGATTTGTTAACCCTTTAATTCCTCTGTAAGGAAGTGCTTGGCCATACCTCAGTCCTTTAGAGCAATGAAATGCTCATTCATAGGAGCTTTGTGCACAATCCCTGGAATAACAGGAGACACTGAAATTCCAAATTCCCAGAGGATTGATTCCACGTTAATCTGCGCCTCCGACCACTGCCAAACCATTTTGATTTTATTTATTTTTATTTTTATTTTTTCCTTTTTCCACCCTAAATTTTGTTCCCTTCTCCCTGATCAAGGAGGCAGGCAGGGTTGAGGAGTTCAAGGCGTGGGTTTCCCAAAGGTACAATTCCAGTTGTGCACGAGGCTGGAGCTCGCCGTGCTCGGGGAGAGGAGCCTCGGTGCCAACTGTGCCGCATTCCTGCTGCCCTGCCTTTTTCCCAGGGCTCCCAAGGAAAGAGCATCCCAGTTCTTCCTCACTCTTGGGAACACACACATTGTTTCAATAATCCAGGCAATAAATGCTAATTAGTAATGCTTAAGGACCCTACCAGTCAGAGTAATTATCATAATTTACCTCTTCCTTGGTTAAAAAAAAAACAAAAAACAACATTCCATGCCGATTTTAATTTTTTTTATTTTTTTTATTTTTTTTTCCCCAAATGGTGTTTTCTCCCCTTTTTCCCCTCTGGAAGGAATTCCTGGTTGGATTAGCAATAAATATTATTTATTAGCAACATTATATAAATAATACAGCTTTGAGACACTCTTTGTGTATGGCACAGTGAGATGGAGCTGAGCACGTGTAAAGACTTTTCCCACACATCAAAATTCCTTTAAAACCTGAGATTTTTTCCTTGGCCTCCCCTCTCCGCTCTCCCCTCCTTCCCCAGCACCACCAAAAACCACTTGCAGCAGGAGAACAAAGGAAATCAGGAACTCTAAAGGCATCATTAAGTATGAAGAGCAACAGCAAGACAGAGCGTGATACGACAACATATTTTATGGCACAAAAGTAGAGATAATTAAATAATTCAGTGGTATTCTTAGCTAATTAGCACAAAGATCTTTCAGAAGCCATCAAGAAAATGGATCTCATCAAACCTAATAATACTCTGGGCTTCCCGAAGATCCTGTGTTTTCCAGCTGCTTCCCCACCTGATACTGTAACGCCAAAGGTTGCACAATTTCATTGGGCTCTTTCCTCAAGATAATATTTTCCATGGAAGGGGATCAGGTATTTAGAGGAAATGAATATGCTTAGCTGGAATTTTCGATATGAGTCAATGGCAGAGGAAAAGATGGCAGCTCCAGAAAAGGCAGATCTGTAAGAAGGGATCCATTTAAAGGATTAAATGATCAGCCAGGAGCCTCTCTGGGGTTGGTTGGGATGGGGCTGACTCGTTGGTGTTTGGAGCTGGTGGATGAGTGCTGGAGTCCAAGGTCTTTTTATAGAGTTAATTTGGGGTCCTGCATTGGATGATTTCAGCTTTTTGGGGGGCACTGAGAAATGTGTGGCCAAGCCCAGAGGAGGTTTGGGACCTCTGGTTTAACCTGGGCTCTCATTCCAAGGCCAAAACCGAACTGGGAAGAGCTCCATCGTCATCTGTGGAGCTGTTTTAGGTCGTCAGTAGGATGGCTGTGACTCTCATGCCGTGCCAATGTATTTTTCCTTTGGATTCCTGAGTTTTTTACCTGGAATCATTTACCTGCTGATGTTCCTGAGCTCAGTCCAGGTTGGCAATCCACAGTTCCTATCCACTGACAGGGATACCTGCAGGGCATTGCTCCTGGAAAACTCAGTGAGGCACGTTCTCAGTAATTAGATGCATCAAATATTGCTCAGAATATCTTGCTGTATTATTCAGAATATCTCATTACGCTCCTTTGATCTGAATACATCCCCAAGTTCACGAGAGGCATTTGCAAACTCATTCACCGCCTCTGTGTTTGATATATTTGGGGTTCCTTTTCCCTCTGCCAAACAAAGGAATGCCTGAAAATTTGACTTTGGCAGCCAGTTAAAATTCTCCTGCTTTAAATAATGGAAGGGGATGCTCATCAGTCTTGGATTCAGCAATAATTCTGGTTTTAACCCTGGGCCCAGACTGAGCTTTACTCCTGTGTTACCGTTTTGGTGCTTTTGACACCATGGATACCCAGACAAGTCATGCAGTGGGGTGAAATCTTACAGTTTGTGATTATTGTTATGCATGGAGCCTCCAGGTTCCCCCTGAAATTGTCCCTAGAACATGGAAACAGATTTTTCCCTGCCCAAAAAGAGGTGGAGACTCATTTATACAAGGTAAAAGGAAGGAATAAGAGGAAGAAATGCACCCAAAAGTGCTTTGCCCAAGGAAGCCAAGCACATCACGATATTTCTGTCTCCTGGTTTACAGGGTTCTGCTGTTCTTTAAGCACAAATTCTTCCTCTCTGGAGTTTTCTGGTTGGGAATGAGGTTCTGACATGCAGGAGACCCTCTGGTGTACCCCCACATGTAACAATGAAATCCATGGTACTTCTGTCAACAAGTCATGCATTTTTTCCCTTCTGTTTTTCTGTTGTTCACCCAATGCTCTGGCACTGTATTTGAATCTATGAGGGCACTCCAACCAATTAAAATATATAGATATATATATATATATATAATTATATATATATAATTTCCAGGATGAAAGAGGAATCTCTGCTTTCCGTGGTGAGCCTGCTTGCAATTGTTTTTATTTAACAGCTCTTCCCACACTGCAGTCAATGAATCTCTAATCTCCTGGACTGAAATGTCTGACACTTCCAGAATCATTTATTTGCTGCCTCGACTCGCAGAGCTCCACCTACAGCAGTGTCTCAGCGGTGGGCTGGTGGTGTATCTGATGGAAATGTCTGTTCTCTCGGGGGCTGGGAGGGATGGGAGGATGAGCACGGGCTCTGCTGTGCCTCTCACACCACCCTTCAAGCAGCAGGATCTGAGGGACAAGGAGTGGATGAGCTCTGGTTGAGTTTATTCCATGGCTGCTCCTGTCAAACACCAACACTGACCAAAGCCTGGTTCTCTTTGCTGTTGCATCCCTGTGGAAGGTGGACAAAAGGGCAAAGAGGAGAAGCTCAGCTCCTGAGAGAAGTCTCCAAACTGCTCCCTCTGGCTGCTCCAAGAAGCTGAACTTTCCCTGGAATCTGTGGCTGGTGCTCCCAGGCCATTACACACTTCTCACTTGACTGCCCTGCTGGTGCCTTCACTTTTAGGATGAATTATGCAAGAAATGCTGTGAAGCATCAGAAATGCTGAGGATTGAGAAGAGTCCTCTCGGTGCATGAACTTACTTGTGGATAAAGTCACACTCACCTGGATTCCAGCTCCTCCAGAAAAGGACACGAGGTGTGGAAAGGATCACAAATCAATCAGTGGACTTTGGTTTTGCTTTGGTGTGCTTGTATCATGTCTGAACATGCAAAGAACTTGGTTTTCCATAAGGAATCCAGTAAATGGCACCTCTGTAAATCAGTTACTTGAAATGTGTTTGTCTCATTTGCTCACCCCTTTCTCCCCTTCCCACCAGGGCTTTCAGAGCACCTCCTTCCCTGGATGGAGTGCTTGGGGCTGGGTTCCTCCTGGGGCTTGGATTCCAGCTTGGGAAGAGGGTTGGTGGGCTCGTGGAGCATCTCACACACAAAATTTGCCTTTCCATTGAGTTGTGTTTTCACTCCACCAATGTCTGCCTGTTGCACCTCACTGCTGAGGGCCCAAATAGTAGAAAAAACCCTGAAATCTGTATTTTTCTCTCCCCTGATTGATGGGTAATTCAGAAATAACAGCACAGCTTTGGTGTCATTCCTGTTCTCCTTCATCCCCCTTTGCTCTTTTTCACATGGCCTGACCTTCTGTGTGTAGTTTTGGGGGCTAATGTGGATTTTGGAAGATGCTGCAGCAAAATTGGAGCAGCAGGGAAGCCCTGGTTTTGAATTAGTGGTGTCCTTGCTGTCTTTGCATCAGCATCCAATTCCTTTTGGGAAATACGAACAGACAACATAAAAATAGCGATCAAAACCCAGTAGAAACACAACATTTGGGTTCAATTGCTAAAAGTATTCAACAAGGAGCTCAAGTCCCCATATTCCTCAGGCAGCCAAATGCTCCTTGTCCTTACACTCATGGCACACAGGCTGGCATTGCAAAGGCAAATAAAACTGCTGGATCCTATTTTAGGATATTTTAGGAAGGATTTTCCCCAGATTCCAGCCTGCCAAAACACAACCTCTGCCTGTTGTATGGAGGTGCTGGTGTGAATTCCCTGGGGGATGAGAGGCAAGAGGAGACTCCAGTGGCAAACCCAAAGCTTCCAGCAGTTCTTTCTCCTGAGGGATCTCTCCCAGTCCGGCTGTGGAGTGGGACAGTGGGGGAGGTGTTTCCACATTTATCTTTACAGCTGAGATATGAAACCCAAGGTCTCCTCTGTTGTTCAGGGACAGATGTCGAGGGAGAAGTTTCGTTCCTTTGGCACATGCTGTGTGAAACCTTCCCTTTTTTCAATTTTTTTGTTTAAAAAAAAAGAGAAATCCCTTTTTTTTTTTTTTTTTTTTTTGTTTCAATACCCCAAAAAGAGACAACAATGCTGTCAGAGCTACCTCATCTCAGAAATAGAAAAAAGACAAAATATTCTGGGAATTGTTTGATCCTCTGCAGGTTGGAGTGGATGAGGCTGCTGGAAAACAACACAGTGCTCTAAAACATATGGAGAAATATCTAAGTGTTTTTATTCACATGTGATGGCACCTCATTATTTAATAATGCCCTTCTACAGCAACTTCATCTGTGGAGCTCCAGCCACTTTCTGCAGAGGTCTGAATTAACTCTCACAAGTCCCTTTGTGAGGTGGGTACGGAGATGTTCCTGATCCTGATTCACACAGGAAGAGAACCACGTCCCTCATTTTTGCCATTTTGAACCTGTTTTCCTCACTTTGATTTTCCACATAACATGGAACAAAATTATTGATTTTCAACCCAGCTGTTGGAAATATTTATCAAGCACAATAGTATAAAATATAATCCGCTTTAATGGGTTCTTTTGTTTTTTGGGGTTTTTTTTCAATCTATTTTTTTCCTCCTGGATAGGGGAGGGGAGACTGGCTTTCCATGCTGAAGGTTTGCTTTGCAGAAGGCCAGGGATATGTTATTTTTGTGGGGTGAGGAAGTGCTGAGCACCTCTGAAAACCAACCCAAAGCTAAAAGCACTGATTAGAAAGTTTGGCTTAAGCATTTTGCCTGAGATGGCAGGGCTGATAATTGGATTTCAGCTTGCTGAGACCCAGTCCATTACTGCAGCTATAAATCACAAATCACCATGCTGCAATCACTCCTCTAATGCACCCTCACTTTTAAAATGTTTCCTTTACAACCTTTTCCATCTGTGCCCATGAAGACACCTCCAGTGTAGGTAATGTAGCAGTGGGGGGATAAAGCTGTGCCTTCAGCAGCTCTGAGGGCACTGAGAGTTGTTGACTCCCACCCTCCAAGCAGTTTTTGGATGTTTGGAGCTGAGTGTGCTGCATTTGGCAGCTTGCACAGCTCTTAGGAAAGATTTTCCTCTGTTAACCCACGTTAGCCAGAAGAAAAGTCACACAGAAAAACTGCACAGACAAATCTGGGCTTAATTGAGGCTTCTTGAGATGCTCAGCTTGTTTTGGCCTTAAGATTCAAAAGCTGCAAAAGTCCTGCTTTCTAATTTATTTATTTATTTTAAAATAGATCATGATAAACCCCTCACTGCACTAATTTGTCATTAAATTCTGCCTCACACACAGCCAGGCCTCGCTGTGGATAAACACAACAGCAGTGAGGTGAGTCTGGGGGTATCAGGATCAGGGAATTCCCTGGAATAAAGCACAGGGTTTGCCATGGGAAGCACTGACTCTTTTGGGATCCCTGCCCTCCACAGCTCCTTCTCCACCACTGACTGCAGAATTTCCTTCATGTACTTTCATATTTAATGTGAATCTTGCCAGGAGGCCCAGGAAAGCCCAGCCCAGGGGGTTTGGAAGCTGCAGCTGGGGGATTACCCAGGAGGGCTATTCCATGAGGGAATTTCTGATCTTGAGAGCAGCCTGCCCCTATTTTTACACACATGGGCCAGAATATTCTTCCACATCCTTTCCTTTCAGCTTTTCCCTGCTTGCTGCTAAAACAAAAGACAAAGGTAACAGCTCTCTGGTGACTGCCCCCCTCCCAATTAACAATATCTAGGCAATTAATCCCTGGAATCCTCAGCACTGGTGCTGCCTCCATGGTTCTTCTATAAACCCAAACATTTTCACTGCTAGAGGAGACGCAAAAATAGAGATGTTTAAAAGAATGAGCACTTAAACCTGCTCTTTTCTATTTTTAAATGAATCTGAGATTTGGCTTTTTCTCTGTATCTGCTGCCCTCAGAGCCTTGCTTTGTTCCTAAGAGCCAGACTTGGGTGGATTCAAAACCCACACATGCACTGGAAGGAATTCTTTCCTAAGCTGACCCTAATGTCATTGTCAAAATTGCACCAGGCATCGTTTTGACCCAGGGACAGTAAGATCAGATGTTAAAACACTGAACCAAGAGCTCAGCAGCAGGAGGTCTCGTTCCTGCTGGGATCACTCCAGCCAGCCCTCCTAGACATATTTTATCCATATCAAGAGGAAGTTTGGAACTAGATTTAAGCTGTTTCCCAGAAGCTGCTGATGCTTTCATGTAAAATGAAGAGTTTGCTGTCAAGACAGGAACAAATTTTGGGAGCCAACAGGGCCCTTTCCCTGATTTGTGTCCCGAAGAGCTGAACCAGTTCGGGATGGCCAGAATCATTAATGCTGCCCTTCAGAATACACATCTCGAATTCCCTTCCTACCTAAACAAGCCCTCAGCCCCTGCCCCGAGCTTAGGAACACAAGAAAAGGAGAATTAGGCCACACCTGAGCACTCAGTGCTCCTAAAGTGACCCAGCTGAGTAAACCAAAGGGATTGCAACAAGCCTTTCATCTCCTAATGGGATCCCTTTGTGTTGATTTTAGCACTTTCTCCTCTTGGCTGAATTAAGGAATCCACTGCACTAACACGAACCTTTTATTGTTGGGCCACGTTATTCATGAATTATTCCAGTTTCAGGGTTATTTTTGCTTTGGCGTGGAGCCTTATCCTAAAATATTTGTCAAACAAAAGACAGGAGCATCGTTTTTTCCACTTCCCGTCTGTCTGTCTGGAGCTGTGGGTCCGAACAGCTTCCAGCTTGGAGGATCCACCTGATAATTTATGAGGATGGGGATGGTGTGAATCAAGAACTTGGCAGCCAGAGACTTGCATGTGTTCTAGGCAAGCTCTAGTCCTGCTCCTCATAAATTATCATTGCTGACCCGTCCCTACAGCATGTGGGAACACCAAAATCCGTGTCCTGAGTCTCTCGAAACTGCAGGAGGAATTTGGGCTTGGTTTATCCTGCCAGCCTCTCTCTCTCAGAAGACTCAGCAAAGGGTGTCAAGAGCTTGGTCTCACCTTTGATGAATAAAATCTTGTGACATTCATATCTCCACTTGAGAGGAGCAGAACACAGAGGGAACATCAGAACCAGAGTGATAAAGGAAATTCCCCTGCCCCCTCAGTAAAAAACGGATCAGGCCATCTAATATTGCACAAACTGACACCTCTTTCCTAAAAATAGCTGTCTGCACATTCAGTCAATGGGCTAATCCAATTGCCTGAACATTCTTGGGTGCTTTATCATTTAAATTGTAATAAATCACAGCGTGCCACGAGCTGGATGGAGCTGCATCGAGTTACACTCCCACCGAGAACATGCGGGGACCAGATGAAATCAGGGTGACATGATGTCATTGAGCTGAAAATTCAATGCATGCCCTGTTTTGTCTTAAAAAGTTGGCTTGAAGGTCTCTTTAAAATTAGGGGGATTTTCCAAAAATCGCTGCCCCTGTCACATTTTGTTTCACTATTTCTTCCCTTCATTTATTTTAAATAATGAGCACATGGAGCCTGCCTGTAAATCCATGGAACTCTATTGAAAAATTGCTATTGATTCCAGACTTTGGACCTGCCTGATCAGGAATTTTGCAGTAAAACATGGAAGAACAGCTATCATGCATATTTTAGGGCAGCTGAACTAACACACTAATGTTCCCATGAGCTCCTCAGGAATATGCTTCCACCAGCTAATACCCACCATTGTTCAAAAAAATTTCATTAGATTTAGTTTCCCCTGGTTTCTTTCTTAAGAAAAAGTAATGGGATAAACCAATTTTAACTCTCCTAAGCAGCCCCTTGTGTCTCAGAGCAACATTTCCCTGGACCACCTTAATGAATTCCCTCCTCTCCTTGGTTTTATACATGTTTCAGATATTTATACAAGCTGTATGAACATAAAAGGATTATTCATCACATTATTGTTTCTGAAACAGGGCACTAAAGCTAAACATAATCTGGTTCAATCCCCAGCTGATATAAATCATCCCTGCTCTCCTGGAAGTTGCTGGATGCTGAGCTCCCAGTCAGGAATTGCTTTCTGCAGGGATGGGAGGAGGGAGATCACTGGGTAAAAGTGGTGGAAACAAAACCAGGTCGCCTGTGGATGGAAATTCATCCCAGAGTTTGGCTCTGCTGCCAGAAGGGAAGGTGTGATGAGGTTGTGGCTCTGCTCACAGGTAAAGGTGGGGTGGAAATGCAGCAGCACAGGAAAGAGCCTGACCCAGTTCCCTGCATAAAAACCCAGATCCCTTACTCAGCTCCATCCCAGGAACTGCAAATTGTGTGGTGTAGCTGCTTCAGACCCAAATACATCTCCTGCTCTCCACTGCTGTGCACTTCAGCCCCGTCCAGTTCTGCCAGATTTATTGCTGCAGGGTTTTGATGACCAAAATGAAGCCCCTGGGGTTGGTACAGGCTGGTGATGGGCAGAGCTGGGGTGTAGGGATGGGGAATTTCACATCTGACTCATTGTCCCCAGTGTAAAAGGGAGATCGAGGGAGGGAGTGACTTGATAAGAAAGATGATGAGGATGAAATGGGAAACTGAAGGAGAAAAATGTGGGGAAGGGGGAAAAATAAACCAGCGAGGGCTCTGTCTCCTGTTATAAACCCTGTAAAAGGGAAGGTGCTGGCCAGCATCAGCCACTGGGAGCAGGTCACTGTCCCCATGCAGGGACAATGCTCTGGAATTGGGGTGTCCCTGGGGATGGGAGAGGTCACTGCAGTGCAACTCCAAAGGAGGGCAGAACTCACCTCCCACAACTCACCAGGGTGCAGCCCTGCCTCTCATTGGGCTGCTCCACAAGCTCCACTGTGCCTTAAACCATCCTTTTTAACCCCAAACTGAGAGGTGGTAGTGCAGGCAGCAGTGCTGGCACATTTAGTGGGAGATGCCACCCCTATCCCCCTTCACTGGAAGCTGCAATGAGCAGCAGCTGCTGAAAATAGCCTTGCAGAGAAGCTCTGCTGCAGTCAGAGCACACGAGAAGAGCTCGATGTTCTACCCTTCTTTCCTCACATACTTTAGAAAAGTTAATTAAAGGAGGCTGGGATCTGAAAAGTGAGAAGTACCGTTGCCAAAGCAGCTCCTCCGTGCTCCTTTTATTGCTCCTCTGACCTGAACACGAGCACAGACCTCATTCCTGCTCCTTCCATGCCATATTTCCACAAACTTAATGGTTACAATGTGGGAAGCAGCAAGAGATTATCAGAGGCTCAGATAAGATGGATCTAATGGCTGAGTTGCAGTTTATAGGGTAAGTACAATCACTATTTAACACATCCCCCCCCCCATTTCCTCTTTTGCAGGCGCAGGGAAATTGAATTATTTACCCCAAATTTCACATGAAGTCATTCAGAGTGAGGGAATTGGCCAAGGTAATAACATGTGCAGAATTTCTGCGATAAAGAGAATATGGAATTGAGACCAGTGCATCTTCTTTTCCTGTACCAGATGAGTGTTCATAGCTATCACCTTGCTGTGCAAGAGATTTTTCCCTCTCCCATCCTGTGAAGTCCCAGCCAGCTATGATGTACTGAAGCAGCAGAGACAAAATCTTTAACAAATGGGGCCAGGAAGGAAACAGCTTTAATTCTTTGGCCAGAAAGCCTCTCTGATGAGCAGTGGTTTACATGACTACACACAGACAAGAACCCTCTGGGCTTTTTTTAAAGTCTTGTGGTCTTCATATTTATAGGAGAAAAATGCCAAGAAATATCAAAGCTGTATCTTGTCTCGCTTTGTTAGCACGATTCCCCAGCCTGCAGAATTGATTCTTTTTATGGGACATGCAGGAACCCCTCTTTTCCCATCTGTTTCCAGTGAGGACCATCCAAGCTTGGCACAGAGACCCTCCAACAGCTTTCAGTAAGGCCTTCAGCCTCCAGCCTCGAAGCTGAAAGTCACCATGGCCCTTTCATGCTTAAATTCCTGGTAGGAAGTTTGGTTTTCATGCTTTACTATGGTTTTCCTCCCAACTTTGATCTTCACTCTTGGGAGTCTCATTTACACTCAGCTGCATCCGCATCTCTGGCCTTAATCTTTCATAACGGAGTGCCCTACTTATCAAAGTGTGACAGCTCTCCTAACCCCCCACCCACTCCCCAGTGGAGATGCAGGAGTCTCTCCAACTGTTATGAAAACAGATAAGTTAAATTGGCTAAGCTGCTTCTTGTCATACTCCAAATATTTGGTCTCCTCTGTCACTACAGCTCGAGGCCTGCGGCTTGAGGCCTTCAGTTCTCGATCAAGAGCCCCCAGATCCAGAGGGTCTGAGGGAAGTTTTTCAGAGGGTTTCCATGGAAAACTGGTTCATTTTGGCTCGTCCTTTTGCTGGACACTGCTTTGCTCTTGAATTATAGAATTGTAGGATGTCCTGAGTTGGGTGGGACCCGCAGGGATCATCAAATCCCACCTTGTCCAAATGCTCCTGAAGCTCTGGGGGCCGTGCCCATTCCCTGGGGAATGTTCAGTTCCCCACCACCCTCTGGGGAAAGAACCTTTTCCAAATACCCAACAAAACCTCCCCTGATACCCCTGCCAGCCATTCCCTCAGCTCCTGTCCCTGATCACAGCGAGCAGAGCTTTGAGGGCCACCTCAGAGTCTGATAATTCCTGTATTCTCACCATGCCTGTGTCAGCATGAGTCAGCAGTGCCATCATTTGGGATGTGGTGCATGAGTAATCACCCTCAGCCACGCAGAGCAGGACAGCATCTCCCCCTGGGTCTGTGCTCCTGTGAACATTCCCTCTGCAGGAAAAACAGTGCTCAGAGGTTTATGAGCAATGACTTTTTTTGGGGGGGGAAAAAAGAAAATTAAATCTGAGAGACTTGTTTATTCTTTTATTGGTGAGAACAGAAGGCTGAAAGTGCAACTTGAAAATTGCATCAAAGGGAGAAGCAGAGCTGGGAGCACACAGTTCCTCGTGTCCACTGGAGATGAGACCCACCAGACAGCTCTGGGATTCTTCTCAAAGAGAAAAACCCTCTTGTGGCATCTCCATCTGACACAGGGGTTCTGCTGCCCTGCAGGGTTTAATAGGTTTTGCCTGCATTTGCTGGCCTGCTGTGGGTTGGTGACAGGTTTTTTTCCCCTCAGCTTCCTCCTCAGCAGTCCATTTAGAAGTGGCTCATATTTTGTTATTACCTCTGATGGCTTTGCAAACGACTGTGTCTAGGAGTTAACTCTCATTTATGATCTCCTCATAATGATAAAGTGGTTCTTTTAAGAGTCCTGTTGCTTGCCAAAAACCTATTATTGCAAAAGTCTGAAGCCATTTCTGAAATAATTTATTGGACAACTGCACTCGGAGCAAGAAGCTCCCATTTAATACCAGTATTTAAATACATTTTAATGTACCCATAACCAGAAAACCCAGATGCCATGGATATAAGCTTAGCATTATCTTTCTCTTCAAAAGAACCATTTTCCCCAGCCCTTTCTAAATGTTCCATTCCCCCCTGAAGCAGATTTCAGGAAGGACACTTGGAGAAGTTTGCTGAGCCAAGGGATCTCCATGAAGAGGAAGCAGCACAGAAGGACAGACAGGTGCAAAAGACATCAAAGCTTCTCCTGCCTGTGTCCAGAGCTTCTCAAAAGGAGCTGCTGGGGTCTGGGAGCTGTGCTGAGATATCAGGATCGATAACCCAGGGCTGGAGCTGGATCACAGGCACAGCTGAGGGGTGCAGGACCATCCAACTCCATGGAAATGAAATGAAGCTTTGCACTTTTCCCAGAGACATTTCTTACAGGGGCTGCCCATGAGGTCAGACCATGCAGGGTGGGGTTGGGCCCAGCTGCAAAATTCATTTATTATATAAAATATATATATATATACACACATATATATATATATATATATATATCTACAAAATTCATTTATTATATAAAATATATATATACATATATATACATATATATACACATACATATATATTATATATAGTTACAAAATTCATTTATTAGATAAAATATATATAATATATATAATATATAATATATATATTATATATGCAAAATATATATAGCTGCAAAATTCATTTATTATATAATATATATATAAAAAAGATTATATTTATATAAAATATACATAGCTACAAAATCCATATATTATATAAAGATGTGTTGTGTTATTTCACATTTATAACTCATCCCCTCTCCCTCCAACACCGAGTCATTCACAAAGAGGAAAGCCTTGCTGTGTTATTTCCTTTTTGTGAGTCTCTCAGATTAAGAATTGAGTTTTCCTTGCTTTAATTATTTTTTTTTAAATTTATTTTATTTTTGTTTTAAATCACATGAGTTGTGTGACTCACGAGGGCTGTAGGTGGTATTTGTTTTGGTGTCTGGAACCCCAGAGTCAAGCTTGTCTTTGTCGGGAGATTGATACAACATTGGTTTTGGCCGGGAGCAGGGGAGGAGAAAGGACATCACTTAGCAGATACTTAAAATGTGGTCAGGCTCTGAAAAGCGACTCTTAGAAATGACATTGTGGTTTTCCATATTTATTTTCTCTCAACAGCTTCCAGGAACAATCTGCTGAGCTCACAAATCCAAAGGTGATTTGTTGAGCTGTCACCTCTCCGTGGAGGGGTTTGAAAACCCCGCTCTTTTCCAGGGGCCTCTTCCATCACCACTGTTAATAAGGATTCCAGGACTGGAAACTGCCTGACACGCTGCTGATGGATGCACAAGGCTGAGTAAACTCCAGCTTTTGCTCTGCTGCAGCTCCCTCTGCTTATCAGGGATAAGAAGGAGCCATAGTTCAGCCCCAGTTTGAGTTAACACAGAGGTGCACGGAGGGAAGATTAAAAAAGCAGGATGGTCTAGTGGGTTAAGACAACTCTGAGGCCTTAATTCAATCCTAAATTTAAAATAATCATGGTGTCTGTGCTCTACACTCACTCAACTATGAGAAAAACAGTGTAGAATTAATCAAAATTATTAACATGTAAATAATATTTTTTTTAAACATTGCTTTTATTTGACCAAAACAGGTAGAACTGCCTGAGGTTTGAAGGAGCATTTCCCAAGGTTTCAAGAAGCATTTCTCAAATGGTTTTTATGGTTCTGCCATGAGACTTCCCAAATGGTGAAAGACACCTGTGCTACATGATGGGGGGAAAAAAATAGAATTGATGTGTGGTAGCTGGAGAAAGGCTCCAGTTTAATGTGTTATCCAATTCTCCTGATTTGTGGGAATTAGTAACTCAAATAAAGCAGAACTCATTTTCTTCCTTTCTCACAATGCACAAAGAGGAGAATGCAGAAAGGATACAAGAGGGAAATAGGAAAAAAAATGGAAATAATAGAAAAAGGAAATTTAAAAAACCCTTAATTAAAAAAAACCCCTTTTTGCTTTGGACAAAACCAATTTTGGGGGTTACCAGATCATCAGGAGTAACACATATTGTAAATGCAGCTGGTGACAAATTCTAGTGCAGATTCCTGTTGCCTTTCAAAAACTGAATGGAAAAGAAGGAATAAGCCAACTTTGAAATGAAGGGTTTGGAATCAGCTTGCATTAAAGACAAGTTTGTCATTGCCCTGGTGACCATTTGCTTGGATGGAGACTGGAGGAGCAGCCAGATCATTCCTTCAACCCCAAAAATCAAAGTGTTGGCTTCCTGATACCTGTGCAGGAGCTCAGCTGGAACATGGAGATGACATTGACCCAGCTCCAAAACTTGGTGTAAGGGTATGAAATGCCACATTCCCTCCCAAAACACCCAGTGCTAATTAGCCCACGTGGAACGAAGCTGCTGCTGCCAGAGCTAGCAGGGGTTCCTCTCCTCGGTGCCACGCACACACAGGCAAGGGGGAACAGGCAAAAATAAATCAGCACAAATGAAACATCCTGGGCTTGCCACGGCAAAAAAGCCGATCACACAAGTGATGATATTGAGAAAAATCTTTTCTTCCATGGAAAATATTCAAAGGAGGTCAAGATGCCAAAAAATTAAGTCATTCTTTTATAACCCATTTAAACCATGGAGAAAAATGAGGGATGATCACTTCCTTTAGATACCTTAGAAATCAGGTAGCTGACTTGCCCGTGTAAAAACATGCATAGGTTATGAATTTTTATTTCCAGAACATGTCATCTCTATGACTGACACGCTCAGAGTATAATTTTCCTGTGCAAAGGTGGAGTAATTTTGGTTAGGCAACATTTATTGCTTTGCATTCTCTTTTAATTGAATTAACTACGTTTGAAATCAGTGTTTTCCGAGAAAGCTCGTTGAGAAGAAGTTTGGCCTAATGAGACCTGAAGTTGTGAGCCAGGAATCCAAAGTCCTTTTTTCAAGTGCTGTTAAAGCCTGGTCCAAACTGAAGTAGGGGGAAAGAGTCCCATGGACTCTTCAAAGGGTCTGACTCAGGCAGCTTTTTCTCTGTGGCGGTTTCCTCATCTTTAAACTTGGCAGAAATGCTAATTTCTGAGGTATGGGAGCCTAATGATTCACCCACACTGCGCAAGGAGCACGGGGAGTTTTGCCTGAGGGACTGCAGAGAAATTACAGGTTTATTTTATCAACAGCTCTTCCACAAAACTGCAGGAGTGAGGTTTAATCTGCGAACCCAGGAGGTTAGGGAGAGAACACGTCCGTAAAAGTCTCTGGAGGGAATGGAAGAGGGTGAAACATGAATATTGTGAGGTCTCAGGTTACAGGGCTGAGGAAATTTGCTACAGGTTTAGTTCCTGGGGCTTGAGCAGGCAGAGTTTTTGGCTCAGCTGGGAATATTTTGAGTTTGTGAAGCCATTTACACCCTGCACCTACAGCTTAAGCTTTGCAATTTGGGCACATTTTATAAACCCAAGGCTTGCGTGTGTGTTGATTCCATCTGATTCGAATTTATGGGCACAAAGGAGACAGTTTTAGCTCATCTCCACAAAGCCCAAGCCCAGATCCAGCCATCCTGGTGTTTAAATGTGATCCCAGGCTGGAGTTGGTGAGCTGGTCCCTCTCAAGATGTTCTGCTTTCAACCTTTGGCTCAATGTCCCCAACTTTCTCCCTGTGAGACAAAACCAATTCCTGTGGGGTTGGCCGTGATCCAAAGAGACTTTCCCAGGCCCAGGTGAAGCCATGGGGTAAATCCTTGGGGAATTCTTGTGCCCAGAAATGAGTGTTGCATCCCCACCCTCAGCTGCCATCTGCAGCCTCTCAGGGGCTGGGTGGGACTGGGAGGAACTGGGAGAGCTGCTGCTGGGAGCAATGCTGCAGATCCACCTCCTGGAAAGGTGAGTGCCCTGAAATGTACTTTTTAAAGCTTGATTTTTTTTTTTTTTCACCCCCCACCCTCGACATTTCTGGAACAAAGAGAGCTGTGGGGAAAACAAGGCTGGAAGCTTATTGACAAATGATAGCTGCAACTGCAACCCAGACACACACAGCGAGCAGAGATTACAGTAATTTTAATTGCTTGTAATGCAGCCCCCCTCTCCCCCTCCTTGCTCTCTCCTTCCTCCTCCTCCTCCTCCTCCTCCTGTGCTCTCTCTCCCCCCGACAGTCCCCCCCCCTCTCAGAGTTAATCTGTCGCTCGATTCTCAGCTTTTCTTTTGCTTCTGGTTTCATTTTCAGATGACAAAATTCAAGGCACACAGCTCTGCTGTCTGGTTGCCCTGGTAACGGCAGCCTATTATCGTACCTTGTCATTCATCAAGAAAGAATTGCACTTGACAGAGATAGACCAAAATGCCTGCAGTCTGCAGCATAAAATAAAAAAAAAAAAAAAAAAAAAAAAAGAGAAAAAAACTGTTTTCTTTTCTTCCAAGTATGTAAAAAGGCCTTTAATGCCTATTTAGCTACATGTTTTATTTAACGTTGCTTATTATCCACTAAAGTGATTGTCGAAACTCGTCGAAATAGATATTCCCTCCTCAAAATTAGATTTAAGTCGAATTTGTCATTCTGCCCAGCTTTCAAACCCTTCTAGCCCGGTGCACAATATAAAGGAAATGGTTAAATGATAAACGTTTCGCATGTTGGATTTGCCAAGTGACCACACAAATGCTGCCTTTCTGCTTAATTATGGCTTGTGTTGGACAGCTTTTCCTGCTCTCTTTATGGAGCTTCAAAAATAATTAGCAGGGTATGTAATAAATAATTGAATTTTATCTTTAATTAATCCTTCAAGTGTTATGGAATACAGATAAGTGGATGGCCATAAAAAGTACATATGTACACATGTGTTGTATGTCTTGAGGAGGGAGAGGTTTCTCTGAGCAGAAAAATCTGTAATCACTCTTCCTAGAAGTTGGACCGATTCCCAAATTCATTGTTCTTCAAAGGCAGGAAAAGGTAATTGCTTGTTATTTTGCCTACCTCATCTCTGCCATCTGAATTAACCCAAATTAATTCCTGAAATCTGTGGCCTCATACCTTTTGGTTGGTGAGCACTGAAACTCTCAGTATTGTGATTTTTTAAAAATTATAATTTATTTTTTTTTTTTAAATTTGGTTATATTTCAGAGAATTGTTTAAATAGCTGCAGTTGAGGGTTGAGGTGGTGGGAGCTGTTTTATACCAGGATTTTGGGCCATTTTTCTTCTTACAGTGGTCAATTTGCTTGTTAAAGGTGAGATCTGCTGTAAAATAGGTTTTATTGGCCATGTGGCATTTTAAGTACATCTCCTCCTCGCTTGGTGTCTGCATCTCTGATTGTGGAATCTTTTGTCCAGAGAGATCAGAGGAAGAAAAATGGCAAAGGGAGAGACAGCAGAGGCAGGGAGAATGGAGTGCACTTAAAAAAATAAAGGGGGGAAAGGAAAATTCCTTGCCCAGATCCTGATGCCAGCTCTGTTTATTTTCCTGGAGCGTGCCATGAGCGCTGCACCAGGAACTTTGGGAGCTCACTCTGCTCTTCCCCACCCAAAATAGAAGCCTGAGTCTTGCTTCTTCTCCCTCTTTCTGTGTCCACAACCTCCCACATGGGGAAGAAATCCATGGGGAGTGGGAAGGGATCCACTGGGAGCAGGAAAGGTTGGGATGGCACCAAAGCAGAGGCAGAGCTTTCCATCAGCGGGGTCGAGCCACAGAGCCAGGGTTTGTGGTGTTTATTGGACAAGTGACAATAAAACCAACCAAAATTCCCCCCCAAAACCAACAACAACAACAACAGAAAGGGCAGAGGGAGAGGGAGATGCCCTAAAATTTGTATGAATCCACCCATTCCTCGAGCCACTCCTGAACTTTCTCCTTTCATTCCGCCGCGCCACCAGCGTTCATTTCCTGCCCAAACCCCGTCCTACCTTTTGATTCTGAAATTTCCCTAAGGCGAGGGGGTTTGGGCAGACAAAGGACTGAACAGGCAGAAACAATTAAACCAGCAGATACAGTGAAAACCAACACCACAGCACCAGGGCAAGAAATCGCACCGGACGAACAAATTCTGTTGCGTATTTGATGTTTCAACAGTCGCTCTCATTCCTGCAGTTTCCTCCAGCCTTCCTCTGGGCTAAAGGAACTCTGCCATCCCTTAGGACCTCATAAATACACAAAGGCACTGGAAATACTTTATTTTTTTTTCCTTGTGTATTAATATTACATGATAACCTCGTTGGAGGAAAAGAAATAAAACGCTGGAGCTCGATCTTCTCCCTTCAGCTGCAAAATGGGCTCTTTAAAGCCCCTTTTAAATGCTCGCATATGTCTCGATGAAAAATTGGAATTTGGAATGTTTATACAGCCCTGAATAGTGCAAGTGAATATCCTTAAATTAGCTTTTCAAGTTGATTTACAGCCTGAGAATTCTGTAACAAGACATGAGTGTTATCTGGTAAGAAAGGAATAGGTTTGGCTGTTATTGTCTGGCTCGGGGTCTTTGCTGGGAAACAAAATGGGAGCCAAAATGCCAGCTCGAAAATGAACTTCCAGGAGGAGAAAAGGCTACGTGGGAATTAGCAAAGGAAGGAATGAACTTGCTCAAAAATTAAAGTGCTGATTGATTTTCTTAAAAAAAGGCATTCTAACTAAGATTAATTGATCGAATCTCACAATACAAGGGAAAAACCAAATCCTGGGAGTTGGTATTTGTTTTACTTGAGAAAGGACTGAACATCTATCAGCTATATCTAATTAATTGCTTCTGTCTATTGATGTGTGTATCATTTATCTTACTGTCTTATTTTTTAGTTATATTTCTGCTACCTGAGTTGGTGATAGATCAGGACTGAGCTTTGATCATTTTTAACCCCGTGTTCTGATCCCAGCACCAAAAAATGCAGCGGCTAAAGCTTCAGCTGGGTGGATGGAAATGTATTTGGACATGGTCAGGGTATGAAAGACCCT